TTCTATATATCTATCTATCTAGCTATCTATTTCTTTCTTTTTTTCATCTAATTACCTATCTACCCATCTACCTATCTATCTATCTACCTATCTATCTATCTCTCTCTCTCTCTCTTTCATCTGTCTATCTGTCTAGCTGTCTACCTGTCTATCTATCTATCTATCTGTCTATCTGTCTATCTGTCTATCTGTCTATCTGTTTATCTGTCTATCTGTCTATATGTCTATCTGTCTACCTATCTGTGGTGCAGTGTTATTCAGTGTATTGTAGTGTAGTGTAATGTAGTGTAGTGTAGTGTAGTGGAATGTAGTGTAGTGTAGTGTAATGTAGTGTAGTGTAGTGTAATTTCGTGTAGTGGAGTGTAGTTGTGTCGTCGTAGTTTTTAGTTTTAGTGGAGTGTAGTGTAATGTAGTGTAGTGTAGTGGTAGTGTAGTGTAATGTAGTGTGTGGAGTGTATAATGTAAGTGTAGTGGAGTGTAGTTGTGTAGTTGTAGTTGTAGTGTTGTGGAGCGTAGTGTAGTGTAATGTAGTGGAGTGTAGTGTAATTTAATGTAGTGTAGTGTAGTCGAGCGTAGTGTAGTGTAATGTAATGTAGTGAAATTTAATGTAGTGGAGTGTAGTCTAGTTGTGTAGTTGTAGTTGTAGTGTTGTGGAGTGTAGTGTAGTGTAATGTAGTGTAGTGGAGTGTGGTGTACTGTAACGTAGTCTAGTGTAGTGAAGCGAAGCGGCGAAGCGACATCTGAACCTCCAAAAGTGGTCCGAACCCCTAGTGTTTTGTACATTTTCACTTCGAAATGTGCTTCGCGTCACAACGGCGTGCGCTTTTTCGACATCTGAACCTCCAAAAGTGGCGCGAACATGTAGCACTTCGAAATGTGCTTCGTGCCGCGCCATCTCAACTTCCAAAAGTGGTCCGAGAATGGTGTGTTTTGTACATTTTGACTTGGAAATGTGCTTCGCGCCACAACGGCGTGCGCTTTTTCAACATCTCAACTTCCAAAAGTGGTCCGAACGCCTCAGTTTTTAACACATTTTACTTCCAAATGTGCTTCGCGCCACAACGGCGTGCAACTTTTCATCTCTCATCTCCCCAGATGTCTCCGCACCCGCCGCTTTAGCGAGCCTCTTTTTCAACCCTCCGGAGCCACAAAACCACGAAAAAACACAGTGTTTCGCGACTTTCCTACCTTTTCGCGCACCTGCATCTTCTTTCTTCTAATCTTTTCTCTTCTGACTCTTCTCTCTGTTGACTGCTTTTTCATCTCTCCATATTGTCGGAAGTTTGACTTCCAAACTTCCTTCGATTATCCATATTAATTTCGAATATTATTATAATATAATATATCACATTATATAAGGGTCGAATTATTAGAGAAAATATAAAAATCAATATTATAATATCTATATTATTCCATAAGCGGTATTATATAATAGCAATTATTTCCCATATACATATATTTATATATATAATGATAAATAATCCAAATATTAAAGAATGGATTTAACCGGTGATTAAATATTATATAATTCATATAAATTCGTATAGGAGGACGAATAGGAAGAAATAATAACATATTATATACCCTCTGGTAAATTAAGATTGCCATGGACAATTACCATATTTAAGAAAGGTAAATCAATAAATTCCAGTGGATGAATCATATATCAGATAATTAATGTATTTATATTACCCTCTGGTAAATTAACATAGACCCTGGTAGATAGGGGTTGGAAGATTAGTTTCCATTAAAATTAGGCTATTTTCAGGGTCTATGTTAAATTACCAGAGGGTAAGTTTTTTGCCATTTCAAGCTGCCTCTCTGGGGGCTTTGCCTCTCCCAGCGTCAGCATCACGGCATCACGGGCTCACTCAGCACGCTGCAATGCTGCTTGGTGATCATCCTGTGAGAGCCAGTCGATGAACCTCCAGCCGTGGATCCAGGGGGATGCAGAATGGTAATAAGCCACCAATATGATTTATTTTATATCATCATTGATTATCATAGTATCAATATTACTAATATCTAATAGTATTAGATAAACACTATATTTTATATAATCTAGTATAATCATTGTTTATCATTAATATCAATATACTACTAATAGAGATCTTGGTCATAATATTACTCGTGACAGACCCTGAGAATTGTCCAGGCCCCGATAGCACTTCATTTGACATGTTGACATGGAACAGAAAACGCTATTATGCATGGGTCATTAAATGTCCCCATTGAACATCACCCAACCATTAGGTATATGGTCTATAATGGCTACTATAAGGTGATGTCCAATATTCCCAAAATGGGACAGTTACCAACCCCTGTTATGGTTTACGTTAAGATTCAAGGTTTAGGCTTCAGATGGCTTCAGTGTTTAGGAGAAAAAAAATGATCACCATCATCAACATCACCATCAGCATCGTCCAGACTCTCATTAAAAGCCCGGACAAAACTCAGGGTCTTGTCGTTTAGGATCTTGTCGAACTACTACTACTACTGCTGCTGCTGCTGCTGCTACCACCACTACTAGTAGCAATACAAATACGAATATAAAAATAGTAATAGTAACAGTTATAGTAATAGTTATTAGCCATAATTGTAATAATAGTAATAGCAGTAAAATAATCATACTAATTTTCATGATGACGATATTTTCAGCACACTATTCTATTGAATAGTCATCAAAACAACATAAATCATTATAAATCACATCTATAATCAGGATGATGAACAGATAAATCTATTGTCAATAACTTTCCAAAAAATGGATAAATCCCCCTGGCTATAGCGGTGCTACGGTGCTACTATTGGGATCGGCCAAGGGGCTCATCCACATCGATCTTGTAGTTGTGGTTCTTGTCCTTGGGCCATCAGTCGGGGACATGTGAAGAATTTTTTTTGGACATTTCCTAGATGAAGATGATTCGAAATTTTTATAGGGCAAAAATGCTTTGAGTATCCCCATATTTTTTTTGCTTCATGGAAACTATTTATGACATAAATATTATATATTTATATAGGGACAATAAAAATTCGAGTTTCCCCAATTTTTGGGGTTAACAAAAAGCCCATTCTTTCTGGAATATTTGGGATGATGATCATCCCTACATCCCAACCCATCGCCATTTTGGGCTACTGTTGGCTTGCGACATCTGGCATTTTTGTGGCAGATCTCTGACCAAACATCATCTAATGGCTCAGGAAAGGACCTGGTTTTTATATGTTTTTATCTGTATCGATGACCCGTCATGATCCAACATCTTGAGCTGTCCATCTTTCTTCTGCGCGTTTTGCAGGAAACTTGAAGCTTCCAGCAACAGAAACTTCGGAGCTTCCTGTGGAGGGTGCAAGCCCAAAGATAAAAACAGGTCACTACAATGGTCAATTCCCGGTGTAAATATGGGTGTGTCTGAAAATTGTGCATACCACTTTAAAAAAATGCATAGGGAAAATGATCACACACCGACCCCTGGGGGAATTTTCCCTCAACATTTGCAGCCATGGCGCCGTTGCTTTGATGATGGAATCGATCCTCAGAATTGGTAAAGGGAAACGCCCATCTTTGGGAGCAAAACATCTGAATCTGCTTGGTGGTTGACCTACCCCTCCGAAAAATATGACTTCGTCAGTTGAGATTATGAAATTCCCAATACATGGAAAAAACATGTTCCAAACCACCAACTAGTAATGAACAGTTTCCAGACTTGTCTGCCCACCAAATCATCGACTCAACTTCCATATAGTTCATCAAGTGAACGGCGGCCCATCATGGATTGGCTCTGGCTATGGGTCAAAAGCCACCGGTTGTGAACCCCAAAATAGCTGGGATTTATGGATGTTCATCCCAGTAAAATTGATAATAGTAACTAGCTTTTGATCCATCCCCATACGTGTGGCTCAAAACTGGGACACCGCTGGATTCAGAGAACAAACAAACTCCCTACTATTGTACCGTCAAGATTAGGATTTTGGATGGCATTCTGTCTTGCCATACCGGCCATAAAATTATGGGAACACAGCATTCCAAAGGACAACATACATTTTCGCTTACTTGTAGACGATTGTAAACCATCAGTGGAACATGTAACTTACATGTCTTCCTATCATTTCTTGAACTTTCGAATGGAGTTTGGCAGATATAAACCACATGTCATCACCTTCTGCTGAGTGTCTCATCGTCCTTGATTCCAACTTTCTTCCTGAGGGAGACAACATGGCCGTTCCAGGACCAAGGCGGATCACAAAAAATGGCGCCCAAGGGCTGCCACTCTAAGAAAAGCCGTTCACGGAAGGACAGTGATCTACTCTACAAAAATTGACTGTTGTTAAAGAATGTATCGTAAACACTTTTGATGTTAGTGATTGTATCATTTTATATCCCGATGATCACAAACTAATTAAGTATAATTAAGCTATATCCCCTATTGAATCCCCTTTGATTGATTATATTTTCTGTTGATTGATGTTGATTGTTTGTTTATTGATCAAATCCCAACCATGGTCACCGAACAACTGGTCCAAGCGGCAAAATCTCTACGAAGCGACCGATGGATAAGGCATCATCCATGTCTTTTGCTGCATGGAACCTGTCGCTCTTTTTTTTATCACCGCTGGAAAAGGAGGGATATGTAGGCAACAAACATGCAGATGAAACGGATGAAGCATGATGAAACCATCCCACAAAGGGGCAGGAATGAGCAGGATCCGTGATATGATCGGTATAACATTAAGATCATGGGGCTATAATATGCTATAATGGGATACAACCAACAGCATCCAACACCATGAGGTGGATTCATGTAAGTCGCGGGTTGAGGTGAACCATCCCATCTGGTATGACTTGCCCACAAAGACCCCATGATCGAAGCGGTCATTTCTCGGGTATCCATCAAGCATCGACCATGTATTTTTTTAGAAACTTTCTCATGGGGGTAGCCCTAGTTATCATCCAGCTATTAATAGATGGATTTTCCATGATTTTCCATGAAACCATCCACCTCATGGGGGATCCACCTTATTTCTATGGACTAGCTGAGGCGGCCACATCTCCCTCAGCTTGCTCGTATCGCCTCTCGTGAAGTCGGGTCAGGTGGACTTTTTGAAACGACACGAAATCAAAGAAATCAACGCAACGTTTTGTTCCAGAAATCGATTTCCCGGCAATTCACTAGTGACCCCATTTCTAGATAAGAACATTTAAGATATTTGATTGGTGGCTAAATTGGCTAAATATTGGCTAAAGATAAATCGAAACCGCCATATTTCTAGATGATTTTCTACTTCACAAATCCCCATCTTTTTGGGGAATTTCCCATGGGACACCTCCATTTTTCGGTGATTTTTTGCGCTGCTTTTCCCCACGAAAAAATCCTCCTCCGTTCGCGTAGATCTGCTGGGACTCCAGCCATGGATTGGCTCGCGAGACGGATCCTGACACCAGGCTTCAGCTGATGAAAAACTCGTTGGAATCCCATGGGTTACTGGTCGCTTCTAATGGGATCTGACCGTTTTTTTTTTTAATGGATGTTCAATGGATCTTAAATGGATTTTTGATGGATCTTAAATGGATGTTAAATGGATTTTTGATGGATCTTAAATGGATCTTAAATGGATGTTAAATGGATTTTTGATGGATCTTAAATGGATCTTAAATGGATGTTAATGGATTTTTGATGGATCTTAAATGGATGTTAATGGATTTTAAATGGATATTTGATATCCAATGGGATCTTACCGGAAATTCGTAACCACTAAAAATAGCTCACGTTTTTTAAATAGTTTTGGTCCCCCAAAAATGGAGTGCGACATGGCCAGCAGCGTCCTTGAGACCCATACGAATGCAGTAGTCTGAGAACTCCTTGAAGAGAATACAGCCTCAGCTGCTCCAAGTGGTATCCGACCCGGTATCCAAAGGTTGGAGGTTTCCTACTTGGTAGCTCATCCCACGAATCGTAAGTGGGTTATAACCCCAGTGATTTACATGGGATAAGTAGGGTTAATCCACTTGTAACTGGGGTTATAACCCATTTACGATTCGTGGGATGAGCCACCAAGTATGGATGATCATGACTTAGTAAACCATGGCCACTTGGGGTTCCCAAAATTGAGAAACCCCAAGATATGCTAATTTATCGTTGATCCAATCCTCATCCCGTCCACTTGATACTTAAAACACCCCCTCAGAAACAGCCAGAAACTATGGTTTAGATTAGATTGGTTTAGCAAGGGATTTACCCTCTGGTAATTTAACGTAGCTATTGGAAATGGCCATTTATAGTTGATTTACCCATTAAAAATGGTGATTTTCCGTAGTTATGTTAGTTTACCAGAGGGTACACATATTTTCAACCAGAGACTGGGGCGGTGTTTCAACCAATTTGGGCTGCCATATACTCCTTGCGAATCTCCCGAGCTCCTGACCACCCTGATCTTCGTCGATCCTTGGTCTCCAAAATTGCTGATCTTGAGCAGTGAATTTTTGGCCATGGAAAATCACCATGCTATTAATAGGTAAACCATCTATTTCTATGGGCCATCTATACCATGGCTATGTTAGTCATAACCAGAGGGTACCATGTTTTGCTGCTTCCATCCCACATATCTTCGTCTCAAAAAGATCGAAAAAGTGTTTCTCCTGGCCAAGTCATTTTGGTAGTACCCTCATATCTGCTTCGTTCGATCCCTATCCTCTTTTTGTTTCCCTTAGTTTCCTCTAAAAAGTCTTCAGAAATTTCATCCTCACAGAAAAGTGATGAGGACGCATGACTCACATGACTCTGAAATTACGGTCAAACTTGGATATCTCAACAAGATGATTCTTAGATGATTGACTGAAAAGATAATTCTTAGATGGTTACCTGAAAAGATAATTCTTAGATGGTTACCCTTAGATGAAACTTGGGATTCCCAAGTTTAGATGATTCTGTTAAGATAATTCACAAACTTATGATATAAACGTTGGTGAAACAACTTTTTTTTTGGTCCCAAGTGTTTTTTTTTAACGGTGGGTGGTCGCTCCCCATAGCAGCTGCTACCAGAAGTCTCATTGAAGAGGGAATAGCCCGGCATGATCATCGGACCACAGCGATCCTGCATCCTCGGCGTATGTCGAAACGCGAGGTCCGCGGGAACTGGGAACTGCGGAACTGATATGAGCCTTACCCAACCTGGTTAGGACTAACAGTTCGCCATGGTTTTTCGATGGCCCTAATCGAAATAGATGGTTTACCTATTAATAGCATGGACATTTTCCATGGCAAACTGTTAGTCATAACCAGAGGGTAAATGACATGTGCTGCTGATGTGCTGAAACAAAGATCTTACTGTCATTTAAGCATTCCAACAAAAAAACATGATGATGCCGAGGTCCTTTTTGATACGTTTTTAGGTCTGCAACAACTATTGTAGACTTGAAAGGCAAAGAAGAACTACCAGACTAGCTTATCAGAATGCAGGCTTGTGCCGAATGTCACAAGAAAAGGGTGAGTAATACCTTCCCACGAACATCTTGAATCCCACCAACGAAACCCCGGTTTCGTAATAGCTTGATGTTTGATTCGTACATTTCTTATGTAGCCTTCCCATATTAAACAAATAATTACTAAACCGTTACTATACTAAAACATGTAGGATTTAATATGGTGCAATATCATATTGATCCCAGATTGATGATAATCCTACACCAAATGGCAATGATGTATCCTAAATGTAATTACTAAACCATTTAATAATATCATTCCCGCACTAAATCCTGCACCATTTGGTAATGTTTGGCTCCCTGAAAACTGGAGCCAAGCTACATCTCGTCAGTTACCTACGCGCACATGCCGAAGGCTCGGGCAGGTGGATCTCATGTTGGGTACTGCATATATACACTGCTATATATATATATAACGTATAAGTATATGTACATGTATATGTATACATTTCTATACTATATATATATATTCATAAATATGTATGTATGTATGTATGTATGGATGGATGGATGGATGGATGGATGGATGCATCTATGCATCCATGCTTCTATGGATGTATGGATGTATGGATGTATGGATGTATGCATGTATGCATGCATGCATGTATGCATGTTGTGTATGCGTGTATGCATGTATTCATGTAACATGTATGCATGCATGTTTGTATTGTATTGTATTGTATTGTATGGTATGGTGTAGGTATGGTGTAGGTATGGTGTAGGTATGGTGTAGGTATGGTGTAGGTATGGTGTAGGTATGGTGTAGGTATGGTGTATGTATGGTGTATGTATGGTGTATGTATGGTGTATGTATGGTGTATGTATGGTGTATGTATGGTGTATGGTATGGTATACGGTATGGTATACGGTATGGTGTATGGTATGGTGTATGGTATGGTGTATGTATGGTGTATGGTATGGTGTATGTATGGTATGTATGGTATGTATGGTATGTTATGTTACGGTATGGAATGTATGTAAAGTAATGTAAGTAATGTAAGTAATGTCAGTAATGTCTGTAATGTCTGTCATGTCTGTCATGTCTGTCTGTCTGTCTGCATGCATGCATGTATATAATGTATAAATATGTGTATACATGTGTATACATACACACAAAACTATATCACATGTAAATACATTTGTCGCAAGTCGACACGATGCTTTTTCAAGCTCAGAATGCCAATGGGCAGTTTTGAGGCTCAGAAGCGATTCACAAATGACTCTGCAGTCGGTTGCTTCAGCTGTTGAACCGCGCACAAGTGGCGGCATTGCTCTCCGAAAATGGAAGGCCCAGAATTGTTATTTTGGGTTTGTTCAAACATGTATAAATACGTGGGATACCTAAACATTATTAAACATGACGGTTTTACTGGTCGAAAATGATGGGTTCATTTTCCAACGAAGCGACCCGGCCGGGGAGCCTTGATTCCCACCTTTTCGGCTTTGCCGGAGGCGATGAATTCGGCAAACTCCTGCGACGATCTCCACAGATGTGGCGGCGTCCCAATGAACCGCACAATGAAGCGACGTAACATGTTGTAACCCCATCAAAATGTAGCAACTGTTGTACTTACTACTTACTTCCAGTGACTTATTGGTCAACTGTTGTAACAATGAAAAAAACCCAAGCACTTATATCAAAATGTAGACACTTCTCCAAGCAGTATCGGGCTTTTTGCAGTGACCCTTCAGCTTCACTGCATAGCGGGCATAGCGCCTTGCAGTCAATGCGACGATCTTCATCTGCATCTGCCATTTCTTGAAAAATCAAATACCTTGATCTCTGCGCGGAAATGTGGATGCATACATTGGCTCTAATGACTTTAATGAGGATGAGGAAATCACCGAAATCAAAGGTAAATCCTCTCCTGGTAGAATTCCACTTGACTAAGGGAATCAATATGACCCATGCTGCATGCTGGATTTCATGCGGACGTGTTTCTTCCTACGCTGACTTCCCCTGGTGTGTTGGACTCCTCTGTAGCAATTGAAAGTCCACCAAACATTGATGATTTTCTGATTCAGACCTCCATTGATAGAGGATTTCCCAAGATTTTCTGATTCAGACCTCCATTGATAGAGGATTTCCCAAGATTTTCTGATTCAGACCTCCATTGATAGAGGATTTCCCAAGATTTTCTGATTCAGACCTCCATTGATAGAGGATTTCCCAAGATTTTCTGATTCAGACCTCCATTGATAGAGGATTTCCCAAGATTTCCTGATTCAGACCTCCATTGATAGAGGATTTCCCAAGATTTTCTGATTCAGACCTCCATTGATAGAGGATTTCCCAAGATTTTCTGATTCAGACCTCCATTGATAGAGGATTTCCCAAGATTTTCTGATTCAGACCTCCATTGATAGAGGATTTCCCAAGATTTTCTGATTCAGACCTCCATTGATAGAGGATTTCCCAAGATTTCCTGATTCAGACCTCCATTGATAGAGGATTTCCCAAGATTTTCTGATTCAGACCTCCATTGATAGAGGATTTCCCAAGATTTTCTGATTCAGACCTCCATTGATAGAGGATTTCCCAAGATTTTCTGATTCAGACCTCCATTGATAGAGGATTTCCCAAGATTTTCTGATTCAGACCTCCATTGATAGAGGATTTCCCAAGATTTTCTGATTCAGACCTCCATTGATAGAGGATTTCCCAAGATTTTCTGATTCAGACCTCCATTGATAGAGGATTTCCCAAGATTTCCTGATTCAGACCTCCATTGATAGAGGATTTCCCAAGATTTCCTGATTCAGACCTCCATTGATAGAGGATTTCCCAAGATTTTCTGATTCAGACCTCCATTGATAGAGGATTTCCCAAGATTTTCTGATTCAGACCTCCATTGATAGAGGATTTCCCAAGATTTTCTGATTCAGACCTCCATTGATAGAGGATTTCCCAAGATTTTCTGATTCAGACCTCCATTGATAGAGGATTTCCCAAGATTTTCTGATTCAGACCTCCATTGATAGAGGATTTCCCAAGATTTTCTGATTCAGACCTCCATTGATAGAGGATTTCCCAAGATTTTCTGATTCAGACCTCCATTGATAGAGGATTTCCCAAGATTTTCTGATTCAGACCTCCATTGATAGAGGATTTCCCAAGAAAAAACAACTCCTTTGACGACTGAACATGTCCTTTTAGGCCCGCCGAGGCCCGCCGAGGCGCATTTCGAAGAACTCATGAAGATATTGGATCCTCATTTCGAGCTGTTGCGGCTTGTCAATATGGGTGTGTCTGAAAATGGGCTAAACCCCTAAACCCAATGGTTTTGCTGATCATTATCCCGTTTTTAAATGGCTATTTCATTGGGAAGATTAACCCAACATTTTCATCACCAAACCCATATTTGATCACTGAGGGGCTTCCACATCTGCGGTTGAGCCACCCATCTCTGGGATCGTCTCGTTGGGATGGAAATCAAGCATATTATATTGAAAAACCACCAGCTAGAAAGGACAGTAACAGTAATTATCTAAAATATAGTATCCCCATTATTAATTATCATATTGCCATAATTAATTATCTAAAATCATTTCTGCAGCTATCCCCATTATGATGGCAATATTTCATCACATCATTGCTGGTTAAATCCACAGGTCATTGTTGAACTTGTATCCCTACGTTCAACGTGTCATGGCCCTGTTGTGAAACCGGTGTTTCACCATCAGGCAAGTTGCCGGCCATGAAAGCGATCCATTCCGAAAATTGCTTGGACATGAAATCCCATCGGCTTGTGAAAACCTTGCTTTCCTGAACCCATCCCACCACACCAACCCTTCAGCAGAAGCTGCAAGCCATTGCAACCCTTTCGACCAAGTTTCAACTTGCGGAACTGCTCACCTGGTTTCACATAGTCTTTTAAATGCTTGCGAAACCTCGGAAAAATCTTTGAAAGTCACTGACAGATTTCTGCACGGAACGGCGAGGAGATGCGAGGAGTTTTCCAGAGTTACAGTGTCTCAGCACCAAATGATGAAAGGGAACACTTGAAAGCGTTATTTTAACCATCAAATTCCCTTCCGCTGCTGTTTTTGAACGGCAAATCATGGAGCCCGGTGGAAAGTGACACCTTCCCCAACCTGAGCTACCCACGCTTGATCATCATTGCGAGCTGGACGTCCTCAAAAAAACAACTTTTCGCAGTGATGGAAGGGGAAAAGAATCTGAATTTTGCCATCGATGTGGCTAAAATGGCCATGGCACATTTGGATTTAACTGTCAAAATCCGTCAAATGTCACCTAAACATCAAAACTGATAAGACGTATTGAGAATTATTGAGACATATTTTGAATATGCATATATATATATATATTATATCATAATATACAGTCTGGGCCATTGGGGGCAACATTCAGCACAATGGTCATGTTTTGACCCTTACCAATGTTATACTCACAGTAAACCGAAGTACGGATGAATGTATGATGCATGCAAATGACAATGAACTGAAAAGAATCATCAAATGGCTGTGGGTCAAAACCTTGTACCCCTGGTGAACATCAAAATAGCTGGTAATCTACTTACCCAACACATCCAAAAGCGTCACAGATGTCAGCCGAGTTTCGCCCGGTAGCAGCCAAGAAGGCTCTAATGATGGCAGGTTTAGCCTGGGCATGAAACAAGCGGAATCCAATTGGCAATGGACACTTCATGAGGGGATTTCCAAAATTGGGGATCATTTAGGATCTAGGGAGACGACTTTCATGGATTTCCCATGGCCATCGCTGTGAATCATTTCAAAAGTGAACAGTTTGGGTTTCTCTGAAAATAGGGCACGCGAAATTATCCCATAGTTACTCATCATTTTCCCTAGTGTCATTTTAGGAGTATTTTATGTGATTTCCCCATTTTCAAACACACTCACTTCATGGCTGGTTGGTGGTTTTAACCATCTTGAAAAATATTAGTCAATGGGAAGGATTATCCCATATATTGTGGAAAATAAAACATGTTCCAAACCACCAACCAGATATGATAAACGCTTGGTGCCAAGGGTCGTTGAACAGGGCAACGCATCCCATGACCTCTGGAAGGGCCTGTCAAGCAGACGGTTCAGCCATTCCTCTTGATGTTTGCATTGTATGGCAAAGTGGTTGATCCAACATGTTTCTCCCCAAAAACCCAATGGTTGAAAACTTTTGAACCAACCTTAATTTTCCATCTATTTCACCATGGATTTCACCTAATATTTCCACATTTTTCACATGACCATTTTGGGCTAGAAAATCCCAAAAAAACATCAGACGAGTTTACACCACGCGGCGACGAGGTCGGCCTTATCAATTTCGGCCAGGCTCAGTACTCCATTGTGATTGATATCCTCGGACGAAGACTTAAATGGAGCCGCGAACCCCCTTAGGGGCTGCAAAAAAAAGCTGGGTAAACTTCAAAACAGGGGGGAAGATATCAAATACCCTCTGGCTATGACTAACATAACTATTGAAAATGGCCATTTATAGTGAGTTTTCCCATTAAAAAAGGTGATGTTCAATAGCTATGTTAAATTACCAGAGGGTATTATATTTCCATGATTTCTACATTCTCCCTAAAATGGTGTTGATCATGTGTTATCAACATTTATCAACCACGAGTAGGTGAGGTATATTCGCTATATCATGTGTCTATATATTTGCAATATATCAAACCAACACAGTTGGGAGAACTACCGTGAACTACCTATAATATTCTACTATAATGATAAAGTGAAACTGGTTGATGGTTTCCCAAAGATCTTTTCAAATCGGGATCATGATCGCAGACGCTTGATGGATCACTGGGCCCCGGATCACCCATTGCCGGTTGGAGACCCGCCATTTGAACATCCCCCCAAGATTAAAAAAATGGACGACCATGGACGTCCCAGTTTCAATGAGCTTGAAAAGTTCCTCCCTCTCAGCCTCCTCCTGAACATGGCAGTTTTTCAGGAGCGACTTCACAGGATTGGAATAGGATTGGACAGGACATGACAGGACCTGCTGCCCCTTCCTAAAGCCCAAATTCATCCCATCAAGAGATTGTTTGATGCTATGTTCGACTGCGAACTCTTGTATCATGTCTAAACTCCTCAGACTTTCTCAGATACAGTTGGCGTGCAAACAACTTCTTTGCAAACATGCATCTATTTTCTTCCTTTTTCTTGGGTCCGGGACAGGCAAGTCGAAGTCAGAACCAAGGGCCCGAGGCAGAAACGTACGTGAAACAAACAGTCTTCCACATGCACACCTACCCAAACATTGGATGGTTTGTTCTAAAATGTACAGGGAATGAGCAACAGTGTGCTTTTACTGCGTGCTCACAAACCGTAGTGAATGCTGCAGTTTTCTGGCTCATGTCTTTGGTTCAGATGTTTCCAGACTGACTCTACACTGCAAAGGGCACACCCAGGTCGCTAATACACGTGGCAGCGTGTACTACATATGAAAACATCAAATTGTCGGGGGAATGATAGCAAACAGACAACAACCAATTAGATCCAATTAGGGTATCTGGGGTGCTCAAAATGGAGTCCATTTTGGCCAGCAATGGGAATATCTGGTTGTATCTTGTTCCTCTGAGTCCATCGTCATTTTGCCGGAATTGCGAGCTGGGATTAGATCCAGAAATTTCAGATACCAACCCCAGCCCCGCAACGCGGCAGGTCCTCCGGTGTCTTCCCATACTTCAACTTTCCCTGGCACGACCGAAGAAGAAATCTGCTGGGGCCTTTTCTGTGTTCCTCAAAGAGTTGGACCTGGGGCATTGCCACAAACCTCTCAAATGGCTACGTCACAGAACTTTTGTACCAATCCAGTGCGCTGTTTCGCACATGTTCGTTGCATCTTTTTTTTTGATGCTTAGCCTCTGGCCCTCTGGTAAACGTTTACATTACTGTGGAAAATCACGATTTTCAATTTTAAATGGGTAAATCAACTATGGCACTATGGCCATTGTCAATAGCTTTTTGTAAGTATGTTTACCAGGCCGGGTATCCCATCCCCCCCCCAATATGAAAGTTATTTTTCAGCCCTGCAGTGGTGCCATGGTGCCAGAGGGTGAAATCCCCATTTTTTGTGAAAAACTCCCTTCGCACCTGCATCTTATCCACTTCCGGACGTCCAAGGGCCACCCAGCGAGCGGCACCGGTGGCACCTAAGAGGTGTCATACCAATAACCCAAGAAGTTACACCAAATGATAGAGTATGATAAAACTGATAAAACCAATAAACTATAAACCATTGCAAAGTTTAAGGTTTCTGACATTGGGTATACCCCAAACTCACTGGGATGATGTACTATATTGAGCCATTAAACATAGCCAATAACGAGTTTTTGGACGAAGCTCAATCACCATGACCATAGTTGCAACCTGGGTGAACCACTGGGTTTATCTCAAAACCGTGGTCAAAAACCAATGTAACTACAGTATGAACGGAATAGATCAACAACTGACTTATTGGGAACTCTGAACCACGAAAAAAACATGGAACCATCCTTAACTCAGGCTCTTTCCATCCTGCTTCGTGGAATGTCTCTGCTTTTCAACACTACTTGGTGGCTCATCCCACTTAGTAAATGGGTTATAACCCCAGTTATAAGTGGATTAACCCTACTTATCCCATGTAAATCACTGGGGTTATAACCCACTTACGATTCGTGGGATGAGCCACCAAGTACCCTTCCCTTGTGCAGCTTCGGAACCCGTATTCTCAGGATTTTCGGTTGCCTTCCATGCGCCAGTGTCCTGGATTTTTTTTGAATAGGCAGTCCTCAATTCTTGGACACACGGACACGTTTACATGCGTAAAATAGCTATATATATAATATATGTTATATCTGTCTATATCTAATTTGTGTACAAACATGTTCATGGAATTCATATATTCTGCACGTGCGTGTAGATGTACATATATATTATTACTATTATTACTACTATAATAGTGATTGTTATTGTATCTATATGTATATATTTACATTCTCGTAACCAACCAAAAATAGAAAAGTGATTAACCAGCATTCAGATTAACATTGTAGAATAACATCCATTGTAGCAACCCGCAAGTTGAGATAGAAAAGTCACATCATAAATGGATTCTAAAAAAAAGTGACAAAACACTTTTCTACCTCAAGTTCGGGGGTTGCTATACTATTTTAGACTCGGATTTTACTTTTCTGTCTCAACTTGAGCAGTGTTGAAGGTTGGTTCAGAACGGAATTCCCATTCAGATCATGGATTATGATATATCCCCAATCCTAATATATAAAAGGTAGTATGAACTACTCATCAACCATCATTTCTCGGTTTTATCCACTTTTTAGTCCACTGAAGTCCCCATATTTTCATGCTTTTACAAAGCTATTGAATGACTTTTTAATCATCAACCAGGATTTAGAAAAACATTTATCAACTACATTTCCATCTTTTGATCCATCATTAGCCCCTATGAATGACAGTTAAATGATGGTTCAATGACTATTCAACATCAACCAACAAGCCACGCCACGCCTGGCTGTCCGCGGTCCTTGTGGACGGTGTTGCGGCAGTGGATTCTCTTCACCCACAGGGCGATATACTTGCCATCCTACCAGCCGCAATTCATCTGGAATTTCACCCGATTTTTGATGCAGTTAAACTGCTCAGTTTTAAATGATGCAAATCGAAGCACAGATGTGGATTTCAATGGAGTTTTCAGCAGTAAAATGCCAATGCGGATTTCACATGATTTCACATGATTTCACATGTGGATTTAAAAAGAGGTGACCAGAAAAAAATAAAACATCGGGATTTGACCTGCACACTTTTTTGGGATCGAAACCGAAGATAGGGATTCTGAATTTTCACCAAGATGGGATTATGTAATATACAGTAATATTATATAAATATTTCTCATCCCAATAATATGTTATCTATCTATCTACATATATATATATCATAGTGTGTATATATATAATATTACATATTGTATATACGTATATATATATATATAATATGTATATATTTGCCGAGAACATGGCATTTACCCCTAAGCTACGGCGGACAAGGATGCTTGAAGTCAGATTCAGCTGCAAGACGCTGTGTGGTGGGATACCCTCTGGTACTTGTTGAACATGCCCTGTTGATAGATTTGATAGTTGTGCCAACTATAAAGGCTGATTTTCATTGATTTTCCATAGCTACAGTATACATTTATATACATTTATATACATTTATACTGTTTATACTTTATAATGACACTTCTGTGCCAGAGGGTTTACACCATGGGAAGCAACATTTATACTGGTTCCTGTGGCTCGACATGATCAAGTTATGATCACTCAAGGCTAGCCGCTTGATGCTTGAATATGCAAACGATGGGTTTACCTCAATTCATGAATTTTCAATGAATCATTTGAATCTCCAAAGAATATTCAAACATTTCCAAACATTTTTTTGATGGGGCTCTAAAAATATTTGAATCTCCAAATTTGAGCAGTATTCAATCCATGCTGTATGATCCCATTTCTGCTACTTAGATGGTTGGCATGACAAAAAAATGGTTTTCTCTTCATACCATAAGAAACCATCGAATAGAAATCGTCTATGATGAATTTATGTCAAATAGATTCAAAAACTAACAGAACTATGGAAAATCACCATTTTTAATGGGTAAATCAACTATTTCTATGGCCATTTCCAATAGCTACGTTAAATTACCAGAGGGTAGATGGTCCAGTTGGTGATCACTCGAAGTTTCCCCAATCCAGGCCTCGTTCTTCTCCACGCCACGCACCTTCACAAGCGCTGGATTTCGAACGCCAAAGGACCTGGGCGGTGCCACACCTGGGATACCTGGGCACTTCGGCATTCCTGTGGGAATCCCATTGGAAAAAAACTGGGTAGCCATGGATGGAAAAACTGCCTTTTTTATTGTACCAATGAGACATGGAAAATCCCAGATGCGATGGGTGAAACCGAGATCTTTCATGATCTTTCAGTAATCATCTACCCATCCATTGGAATCCGGATCCAACGGAATCCAAGGGGTATTTCGTGCACTGCTCAACGGTGATTTGACCAAAAAAGAACGAGGCTCCCGCGTAATCAAGCACTTCCTCGCAGCGTTTGCGCTCGCTGAAACAGCGGGGAATGTGGGAAAATCATGGAAGACCAGCATGTTCAGGCTTGACATCTCACATAGATGCATAGAGTTCCTCGCATGAAACACTCTTGAAACATATTGAAACCTATTTCAAAATACTTCGATTGAGTGCCAAGGGGACATCCTTGGACTGTGAAAAGCGCGCATGTTTTTCTTGCGCCGTTGCGTTGAGGTGGAGATGTTTGGGGGAAAAAAAGGGGTTCAGGAGTCAAGAAAAAACCAGCAGCCATTGAAAAGCTCAAAGGGCACTTGAGACGCACAAACTACTTGGAAGATCTTGGAAGACTTAATCTCAAAAGGGCTCATGTGCTCCAGCTTGCAAAAACCGGGTTGCAAACCGCAACCCGAACAGTTTGAAATAGGATACAGAACCATGCTGAACTATGAGAACATAGAGGCTGCTATCCAGGCCCACCCTGACAGGACGACCGACTGTTGCTTAAATATGCATCATCCTGAGCTGTTTTGTGATTCCAATCATCTTAAATCAGGATTTTTGGCGATTCCAAGGTCCAAGGTGATTTAAGATGATTGGAATGTGAACCAATGGTGGAGTTGTTTGAGCCAATTTTCTCTATGGAATCACGGAATCACCATTCAAAAAAAGGTGATCTTCACCATTCTTCACCATCTTCATCACCATTCCACTCACTGGTGATTTACCAAGGTTCATTCCATTGTACTGCTCTCGCTTGCCCTTCAGGCCGTCGAGATGCACCCAGCTGACGCCCACATGGAATTTACCTGGGGATGCTCCGTATATGTCCGGGTCCTTTTCTTTGGTCCCAAGGTCCCAAGTCATGGGTAGCCCCCCCAAAGTTTCATGCTTGTTTCATGGTTGTTTCAATAGTGTAAAAAGGTCCAATACTAAAACTGGTTGGTGGTTTCAACCCCTCTGAAAAATATGAAAGTCAGTTGGGATGATTATTCCCAATATATGGAAACATAAAAAATGTTCCAAACCACCAACCAGAAAATCATCATTCATCTACTATTTTTAATGGTCCAATGGTCCAGGATGCTCCAGGACTTGGATGATTTTTTCGGCGGAAGCAGCCATGGAAAATCTCCGTGTTTCATGGGATATTTTTATGGGATTCAATGGATGGCAGCCGGAAAAGCCACGCATGTTGAAGCAACATCTGCCATGGCAACGTGATGGGGATGAATCCCACATGGTCATGTGATGGGGAAAATGGATGAAAATGGATGATCGGATGGTTCGAAAAATGGTGCTTGACCTACATGTTGACCTACCCCCTGAAAAATGATGGAGTTCGTCAGATTGGATCATCATGATCATCCCAGCTCTTGGGGAAGGGATAAAAATCATGTTCCAAACCACCAAGCAGTTGATGATCCCATTAAATCACCATAAAATCCAATTAAACCAACCAGTTGATCATCCCAACTCTTGGGGAAGTCATCAAAGTCATGTTCCAAACTACCAACCAGTCGTTAGAATACATTGTAAAGTTCAGTTGTTCAACCGGATGAGGACCGACCCATCTTCAGATTCCTAGTCAAGAATCAAGGACTCGATATCTGCTGGTGCATAGTTTTAGGATTTACCCCTCATAATTCATTCAAAATTCATTTAACATATGTAGCTATGGAAAATCACCATCAATAGGTAGATCATCTATAAACGGGCCATTTTCCATAATATGAAACTATCAGAGGGTACACAAAATGGTGTGGCAGTCATCGCAGCTCTTCTTGAGCAAGCCACCTTCATCCAACCGATGATCTAACTGCAGGGCCTAACACAGAGGGATGACGAGTGCAAATTTGTAGCACAACTATCCAAGCGGCAGGAACATACCTACTGATACCTACTGGTCATCACTCGAAGATCCACTATTTGCAGATGATGGATCTATGGTTTCAACATATGATCTGGTTGGTGGTTTCAACCCCTCTGAAAAATATGAGTTCGTCAGTTGGGGTTACTATTCCCAATATATGGAAACATAAAAAATGTTCCAAACCACCAACAAGTTATAACATGTTTTACCTATTGACTTTCGATGAAGTTCGGATCTGCGCAACGGGTCGCAGAAGGCCTCGTCTCCCTCGTCTGGTGGACGACAAGTTTCTCCACCCTCTTCACCCTGGCTGCACTGCATGAGTTGGGAGGTCTCAGTGGCAACAATCTGAAACAAATGCCATTCTCGGACCGAACATTTGCATAGATTGGATAGTGATGGACAGTGCATCAGGGAATTTTATGATACTTCATGGGCATTTTTACCATTGATGATAAAGAGATAACTGCTTCAAGAACAGCTGGCTCTGACACGATCAACAAGCTTCCAGGTGTTTTCGCAATGCAGCTGAAATCGCTCTTCGCTGCTGCGATTTCCCGTTTTTTGAATTACCGTCTGGAAAATCATGAATTGATAGTTTTATATGAGTTTCAACCTTCATTCATAGGGGATTTTCACTTGCTATGTTTGATTACCGGAGGCTATTCAATTTTTCTACCGTACCACCAACATCCACTAGCATCCACAGTCACAGAAGCATCATGAAATACCCTCTGGTAAACTAACATAGCTATTGAAAATGACCATTTATAGTGAGTTTTCCCATGAAAAAATGTTATTTTCCATAGTTATGTTAAATTACCAGAGGGTACCACTTTGGTGGAGCATCATCTCCACCTTTTTTCCCCCCCGATGCCTCCCAGCCCTCCGCATCTTCTTCGTCTCCGACACATTCCTCGTTCTCCTCATCGGCTGCCATCACCTCCTCGGGCTGTTGGTGGCTACCACTGTGCACCATGGTAGGCTGAGGATCAGAAAAAACCATGGCTGTTGCAATGACACACTTTGGCAGCTGGGGATGGGTCAAAACCCTGGTACCCCTGGTGAACATCAAAATAGCTGGTAAATGGATGTTCATCCCACTAAAAATTAAAATGTACCTATAGGTATTGACCCATACCCAGCTATTTTCGTTGCGGTTGACTTGGCTGACTTAAATACCGTGCGGTGTGGATTGAGAGAAACCATGGATGAACAATTAAAGCCTCGTATCGCTGTAACCCTTAACCAATGGAAGCAAGTCTCCTGTAAAGTGCAGATATAAACAACTTGCATCCTTTAATGACATGGTATGATATGATATGTATAGTTTTTTTTTTGCAGTTTCGTGTTGTAATTTCTTGACTCGACATTTTGTTTTTCGGCTTCCAACATATCACCGGAAATGGGTGGGCACTAATCACCAAAAAGTGTTTTTTTTGGGCATTGGGTTTACCACATTCCACAGGATATGGGATGTCAAGGGGGGCTCGGCTTTCGATGCTTTCGATGCTTTCGATGCTTTCGATGCTTTCGTCCTCCATCGCCGCGTCCTTCTCTTCCTCTGCCATTGCGACTGACGGTCGAAACTGAACAGCTATGCTGAATCCAGGCTCGACGCATCTTGCAGGATGTTGAGGCAATAAAATTGCGGTCGATCACACTGATGCAGCGAAACACCTCGTGAGAACATGATCTCAGAATATCTAAGATGATCTTTGTGTATCTCCTGAGACAAGCTCATAGCTTTGGTTCAAATCTCCTAGATCTAAACTTCTAAATGGTAGAGTCTTGGAAATCCTTTGAAAGAAAACCACTAAATGGAAACTGAAATCATTGTAGACTTGCTGTGCACTGTTTTGTCCAGTTATCTAGTCTGGAGCAGCATTGTCGCTGGCAATCTCTCAATCGCCCTGTGCTCTTTTCCTGCTTGGTACGCTCAGCATCTCAGCGTCGAAAATTGGAATCACCTACCTAGCTCTGGACAGCAAGACTTCATGAGAATAATCGTTTCCGAACAGCATCCTCATTCTGTACTGTTTTTGATCTCTATACTAACTCATTCCGTCCTGTTTTTGTTCTTTGTACCAACTAGACTACAAGTCGTTCATGCACAAACTCTTCGCCTAATTGAAACCGAAACCACTCAAATATCACAGACGCAAGAGACTCTTGTCTCAGTCAACACAAAGCTGCCTTGACAACCCTCAGCTAGTCACGCCATAGACGACCAAACGTACATTTATATGGGTATGGATCAATACCTATTAATACCATTTTTAGGGGAATGAACATCCATTTACCAGCTATTTTGATGTGAACTACAGGGGTACAAGGTTTTGACACACTGCCATATTTTCTTGTGGGAATAACATGACAGCCCCATGAGACGGTTTGACAGGATCTCCTTGGATCCACTACAGCTTGCGATCGCAACAGCCCGGCAGCGGTGTTCGGAGACTGGTCTTCGGCCTTGTGCAATTCTGTATGAGGATTCAACACCAAGATAAATAAAGCATACTGTACTGCAAAAAAGGGGAATCTTTCAGAACAAACCTAAAAAAAACATCAATGCTTACAAGAAATGCTTAGTCGTTTGATCTAAGAGATTCCATATACACACATATACACACAAGGCAACAAACCCGATCATATTGCAAAACAAACCGGCTTTCCATGCGTTCTTCTCCTCTTCACTTCTACTGAGCTTGGTAACTGCACTTGTTGATCTCATTCGGAAGCTCAAGTCAAAAATATTCATCATGATTCATCCCTAAAATTGGCAGAACACGCTTTTAAATCACCGATCAAATAACCTTCAGCGACTAAGATCCCCACCTTGAACAACTCAGGTGTTTTTGATGACCTCAGCTGAGCGCTGCGCAGCGACGCTGTAAAAAACACCTCGAATTTTCATGATGGTCAAACATCCGGATCAAACATAAAAGTATCGAGCGAAGCCTTAAGTTGGCATGTTGTTTCATAATTCATTATCACGCATTATATTTTTTTACTCAAGCCCAATCTTTAGTCTGACTTTGAATGGTGGAATGACGCATCCCCGGGGTCTGAATCTCGAACTATGACAAAGTCCCATCCCGATGACTCGTACTGCAGCTGTGACGCCGCTAAGATAGCTTCCTTAGTTGAGGATTCATTGGCGACGGGGGGTGTCAACACTCTTCCCTTGCAAAACGGTGCAACTTAAGGATGAAAAAAAAGAAGCAAGATCTTTTACCTTCCAAGATATCCTAGCCTCAAACGATAGAATTCTAGCAATCCCAAAACATATTGAGAAATTGTCTAATGATATCTAATGGATTCTAACGGTATTTACAATGCACTTTGTCACTATTCTATACTATTCCTAGAATCCTGCGCTACTTTCATATCCCATTTTTTCATGTTTTTCCCAGCCCAGTATTCCCTTTTGATTGAGCCCCCCAACTTCCCATAGGTCCCCATAGGCCCCCAACAAAAATCACCAGGCTTCAGAGGGAACGTTCACTTTGCCAATGGCTTGCATCCTCTTCTTGCCCGCAGCCTGTTTCTGCAGCAGCTTCTTCTTGCCTACCGAGATCTAGGGCGGATGGAGACCAATGCCGCCCCGTATGCTGTAGCCATCTGTAGCCCCATTTTTTGTGGTGAAATACCCTCTGGTAATTTAACATAGCTATTGAAAATGGCCATTAATAGTGGATTTTCCCATTAAAAATGGTGATTTTCCATAGCTATGTTAGTTTACCAGAGGGTATGCTGAAAGCCCCAATGATATCATGATCCAAGTGTTGACATCCACCTTGTTTGTTGCTGAAAACCGTTGCCCCTTCCCAATCCCATCATCTTCAACCGAGAGGCGAGAAATGTCGCCGCCGTAGCACTTGGCTAAGACATCTTTTCGCACCGCTTTGATGGTCCGGGAAGACACGATGTGCGTACCTGGATGCCCCAGATCCATGAGATCCCTAGATCATCCTAGATCTGGATGCCGGAGCTTTCAATACTGGACATTGGACCATCAACACTGGATTCTGAAGGACCAACCAATGGACCAACGTCCAATGATGAAAAACCATCATGAAAAACCATCGTTAAAAACCGGATGATCCATAATGACCTCTTGAGGACGCAGTACGCTCTCTAGATTTCTCCAAAGTTTTTGACATGTCCCGCTATCCCTGCAGGAAGTGCTTCAATTGTCCAATCTGGGGTTTCTTACTAGACCCCAGCTTTGAGAGGTACATACTAAACCAGCATGGGACCCATGGATACCTATGACACAATCCAGGACACAACAGGATGAAACTTCCAAGATGCCAATGCGTGCTTGAATGATAACCTTGATCTGCTGCGCCGGAATATTCTCCTGCAAAATGGCTGTGATCTTCCTTGGCGGACGAAGGTGACGAAGGGGGGATGCACCATGGGATGTGGTTGGATTCCCTGAAATGTTCAAACATGACCAACAATTGAGATACAAACAATCAACAACATGTGATCATTGTAGATGATAAACCATGATCAACCAAGTTTTTTTTTCCAAAGTACGGAACAAAGAACCGTTGAAACCCTGGTTTTATCTTTTTTTAAAACCAGCTCGTGGGGATATCATGGGATACCCTCTGGTTATGTCAAAATAGCTATTGAAAATGGCTATTTATAGTGGATTTTCCCATTGAAAATGGTGATTTTCCATAGTTATGTCAGTTTACCAGAGGGTATCGGGTCAGGTTTCCCTCGTTTCGTTTTTTCCAAGGCTCTTGGCGAACTCCAAGGCCCGCGAGCGATGCACAATCTGAGCCAGGGGGTTGGCGGTGGTCTGATTGATGTCCACCTGAGTCCGGTGAAAAAACGAGGGCGTTCGGAACACCCACCCTAAAAAAATGGTGGTAAAACAATGATAAACCATCCCCTAATCACCATAAATAGGTGGTATATAGATGTATATAGCTTTTATACCATTCCCAAATGGCGGTTTGATTGTTGTTTTACCCACCCTTTGATGATTTTCCCAGCTCCAGGCCTCCAGTTGCCACGTTTGATTATTGACTTATAAATCTTATAAGGAGGGTAAGACAAAAATTGTACAGGAAAGTAACAAGCAACCTGTTTTGCAGTATTAAAAAACTGTTTTTCTGTAGATTTTCCCTGGACGCAATTCCGGTAACAATTGGTCATACAGTAATCCCCCAGAAATTTGGCTGTGCTCGTTCGGGGGATTCTGTGGAGGGGTCCTGGGATTGCCATCTCAAGCTTCACTTCTGCCAAAGCACCTCCAGTTTCACCAAGTCGTTGTTCCTGCTGCAAACACAAAAAGAACAACATGCCATGTCCAGGGTTTATTGTCATATGTACACAGTCATCTGGGTGTGTCTGAAACATGGGGATATATCCCATTTTGACGATTAACCAATGGATCGAGGGTTTTTCTCATAATTACACACAACCAAAATATCCCCGGCACCACCCCCAAACCAAGGTTAAAACGTGTGACTCTGGGTACCTTGACTCGCTGGCTCATCATTTCACAGGGATCGACTAACCCTGGCTCCACACTTTCATCGCAAACATCCGCAGTCCTGTAGTCCAGAACCCGATAGTCCATGGAAGCATAGCCTCGAGAACGGCTTTTGAGCTCCTTGGCGCACAAAGACCAGGCTGCGCACGGTGTAACTCACAGAGACTTCTGTCTTTGCAAGAGGGCCAATGATTGTGAACGGATCATTTACAGGAGAAATGACTTTGAAACTCGATTCCATCTCTCCAAATGAATTATATATATATAAATATAGATCAGTGAAACCCAAAGACAATGACTGTGAGGTAGCCCTTGGCACTCGCAAACGTGTTTGGTGTTACACTTTCCGACGGCACGATGGCGTTGTATTACGCCAGTCCCTGACCTGGTCACAGCACCTGGAAAAGTGCCTGAATGGCTAAAGGGGATCCCTTGACCTAGATACCCAGTATGTTACAGAAGTCCAATGGGTCACATGGCTATGGATCAATACCTATATAGATACCATTTTTAGTGGGTTACCTATTGAAATGTGACCTGAAAAAAGCCGAGCTTCCGCGAAGAAGTCTCGGATCATCTCGGCCATGGGCATCCTGAGACATCCGAAAAAAAGCCACCCATTTTTTTGGATCTTTGAAACAAAAAAATAGGTTTAGAAAACCCCCCAGAAAAACTATAGATATATCATTATATCACCATATTATATAATATATCACCGAAAAAAACCATATAGTTATTGGAGTTAGAAGCCAAAATCATGGGATGTTGAGCCCATCGTTTTCAACTGGTATATCATGGATTTCGCTGGACCATCAGGCCATGAGCACCGGTCGCATGGGAAGATCATCCAAGTGGTCCTGGTGATCCCTTGGGTGATCCATTTATGTGGGGCGTAGCCAACCCGCGTAGCCAAGACTTGGGGGTTTGTCTGAAAATTGATGAAACCCCAAGTCTTGATTGACTATAGAACATCATTTTCCAATGAACATAAAATACTTTTGGGGTAATGTATGGTATACCATGTACCCATATGTAGCCCATGTGAGCAGACAAACAATTGTTCAAAACCACTTTTTTTTTCCACCAAGAAACTCATATTCCAAGAGAGCTCGTCCCTGTGTGAGGAAGCTCGTTGTCCTGCAGCTTTGCATCCAAGTGGTGAATTTCCCCCCACGATGGCCATCGAAAATTGGGGCTACGCTATGCGAAGAAAAACAGCCATTGAAATGGCTTTTGTACCAACCACTTATGAGAAATTATTGGGTAAAGTTTGAAAAACCATGAAAACCTACAGTTTTTTATGAAATTTTTGTACCCAGTATTCAAAAACCATTTATGACAAGCGCTTGGCCAATTCCTGGGTAAAGTTTGAAAACTGCAGGTCTTCATGAAGAGCATCCGCACAACATCGGCCTTTTTAGCCAAGCGAAAATCCAATCTGTTCACAAAGAGATTCAGGATCAACGTGCTAAGATTTCGGGGAACAATCATGAACAATATCTAATCAATATCTAACCAATATCTAATCAATATCTAATCAATCTATCCCAACAAAAAACTTTGTTTCTGGAAAATGAAAAAAGTCTCCACTGGCTGTATGCAGTGGTACAGAAAAAGTAACAATAAGTATGGCTATGGAACTTTCTTTCTTGATATTTTTAGGCTTCCTAAAATCGTGTTATCCCCAACAATCATCCATAGACATAGATGGGATTTTTCATGAAATAAACATTTATAAACCAACCATTTTATGGGATTCCCCCATGGAAACCTCCATATTATGGGTCAAGTCATTAGGTACCCCAATAATTATGGATGGTTCATACTAAACTAGACATTTCCATCTGTGGTCCCACATCGGTCTTCCATTGATATTTTTATGGCTCCGGGGATCTCCATGGGATCTCCGGGGATCTCCTGTAGATGCCTCGCCGCTGCGTGGCCAGCTCCATGCAGGCGCCCATGTGATCCTCTGGGACGATCATCTCCAACCTGGAAAGCGAGGGCGCCCGGATCGGATGGTGGAAAGGTGTGAAGTGGAAAGGCCATTTTTTTGTGGATGAAAATTTAATTAGTTGGGTATGGGTCAATACCTATATAGATACCATTTTTAGTGGGTTATTCACATCCATAAATCCCAGCTATGACTTGGGGTGAACAAAAGGTACCAGGGTTTTGACCCATCCCCAGTTCAATAGTGTGTAAATAAATAGTGTGTTTCAATAGATGTAAATAGTTGAAGTGTAGAGTACATCAACTATTTAACATTATTTAACTATTTCTAGGGCCATTTTCAATGGCTATGTGAAGTTCGGGATCTGAAGGGTACATATTCGACCTGGCGAATGCCGGACTTTCCGGCCATGGCGTCCAGTGACAAACAGTAGGGTTCCCGAATCTCTGCCACTTGGTGAGGAGGAGGCAGCATGTTCGCGAACCTTGGGGACCGGATGAGCCGGTAGAACTTGCGAACAAAAAACGGGAAAAAACCTGTGTCAACTCTGAACAGAAATACTCAGAATCTGGGGAAACTGGCAATGGATATTTTTTTTTTTGGAGATGGATATGGATCCTCCAAAAACGTCGCCTCCAAAAACACCGCACTCTCCAGGTGGCTGAATGGTGCTCTCTGTGCCGTCTTTCATCTGAATCTGATATTCGACCTGGAAAACGTACCGGGCTCCCCAGTTTCTGACTGAGCTTGAAAAACACTATCTCAAATACGTGCATATATTGCGTGTATAAAAGTATATATATATACATATAATATGTAATATACATGTACATGTGAACAAAACAGCCATTTAGGGACCATAATCCCATTTTTTTTTGCAAATTTGTTTTGAAACCACCAACCACTTGCATAATATATATATATATTATGTATTATAGTATACACTCTTATACATGATCAATATATATATATAGATATAGTTATCAATATATAGATACTAAACATATTTATATTTAATGCTATCACATCCACATTCTATGGTCCCAAAGATGTGGAAATTCCCTGCTAAACCATGGTTTCTATTAGCTCTTTTTCCGAGCGTCTGAAGGGGCTGTCACAATCAGCTCCAAGTCATACTCGCGCTCCAAACGATCCTCCCAAGGGAGAAAAACATCTGCTTGGTGATAGATATGTCCATTGCATTCCATTGCTATCCCGTGTTTATTGTTTATATATAGGTACGCGATTGGGTTACCAACACCTGCTTTTAACTTGACATTTTGAGTACACTTTTTATGAACATGATTACTATGGATTACTATGGATTACTATGGATTACTATGGATTACTATGGATTACTGTATATGTAATATGATGTGTATATGTATAATATATACATTTTCTATGGCTGTATGGAAAAAATCTCGAAAAATCACCAATCCCCTGGGTGTTCTATCCACTGATTGCTGGCTGGTGAAGTCCCCCCTATTTTTCATGACATCCCTGTGTTTGATGGTAAAATCCCTATGTTTTGATATTTTTGAATGCTCAAAAACCCCCTATTTTTGATGGTGAAACGTTTCACATTTCTTGAAAAATGGCAGTTTTTCCATTCAATCCCTTTTTTTGATTAGGTCAACTCACGATTCTTTCTTCATTGCTAAAGCCATATGACTGAGGCTTTCCTAAAATAGGGCTACCCCCCAAATCATCCATAGACATTCAGATGGGTTTTCCATTTTTGGAGCATTGAAAGAAACCATCCATTTCAAAGTACCCCATATTGATGATATTTATGGACCCACCCCATATGGACCCCATATGTTTGATGCTTGGAAAGCCCACCATCTTTGAACCCGAAACTCAGGGTCCTTGATAACCTCCATGTGCAGAACTCCCAAGAAACCGCATCGAAAACCCAGGCCCAAGGCGACCTAAGTCCCTGGGAGATGAGACACTTTCGATATGGAGAATCCATGGATCAACCATGAGGAATTCTATGGAATTCTTGGGGATTAATGGATATATAATTTATATAATACATAATGACCTATATAATATGACCTCATCATCATTTCATGAAATTTAAGTGAATAATTATCTATAAATGGGCATGTGATATGGTATATAAATGTATATAATGGGATATATCATCACGAATATGAAGTATCATGTGGCTGGGAAACTCTGATTGTAGCTGCTCTGAACCGCTCTCTTCGTTCACCACTGGATAGAACCAGGAGACACTTGAGGGAGACCTTTGTACCGCGAAACTTTTTGGCAGAATCAAACATCTCTGAACAAAAAGTGCATTTTTCCCCGGAGGCCAAGGAATTATCTAAAAGTTTAAAAGTCTAAGATCTTCTAAGATTTATCTTTGCACAAACTTCAAAGCTGTGATTGACTTGGGTCGGTAAAAGCAGCTGAGCAGTGCTCAAAAGCCTTCTATCATCCGTTTCTGCTGGTTGGGAGACAGTTCCCCTATCTGTCATTCCAAAACCCCTGCAACGAAGAGTAATCCCATCCCCTTAATATGAGCTCACCCTCCAAATACCATGCTGGATGCAGGAGATTGGAAACCATATCCGACTGCTACCATGGTTACCCTCTGGTAAACTAACCTAACTATGGAAAATCACCATTTTCAATGGGTAAATCCACTATAAATGGTCATTTTCAATAGCTATTTCGACATAACCAGAGGGTATCCATGGTTCCAACTAGTTCCAACCGCCCTATCCGATGGCACCACCGAGCTGCAGAATTCTCCGGTTCGTAGAAGAGGGCGGCATCGTTCAGCGAGAGGCGCTCAAAGGCAGTCTTCATGTTGTCAAATTCCCCCGACTCGGCGGGAAAAAGACCTGATATTTTTTCAGAGCGGCCTGGCCTTGTCCATTTTTAATGGGATATTAATGGGATACTAATGGGATTTAATGGGATTTAATGGGAATCCAGTCATCATCCCATTATTCACCAGTGCTAACCCATTGGGAATAACCATTGAATCACCATTCAATCATATTAAATCACCATTAATTCACAGCACCGTTGAACTTCTTGGCAAACAAACTTGGCTGGCCTAGAGTGAAGGTGCAAACTGGCTTGCAAATAGCATCAAATAGCATCAAATAGCCCTGGGCACCCCAACAAAATTCAGTGGTAAAGAGTTTGCCTATTTGAGGGCATGCCCATTTTTTTGGCGAAGCAATTTGGAAAAACCAACGCTCCTGTCGCAGTGCCGTTGCCGAGTCACCACAAAAAACCATTGGCGTGGCCTGTCAACTAGGATCAGGACCTGGGGGAATCATAAAAACATCATATGCTTTTGAAACCATTGGTCAATGGCCATTTCAGGAACCTAAATTGAGGGTACCTACCATATATAAGGATATAAGGCCTATATAAGGCCTATGTAAGGGAATATCCCCACAAATTTTGGCCTTATATGGTACAGTACCTGCATTTTAGGATCCTGGAATTCCCATTGAATTGGTTGAGGAATCATTATTACATGTATATATATATATACATATACATATTCATATTATATATAGAGTTATACCAGGACCTTAGGATTGTTATCACATGGTCAGCATGTTCCATGTCCCCTGATTTACAACATTTTGCTGATTTTAACTTTGAATTCAACTGCGATTTGAATCGATCTGACACAGGCAACAGGCAGTATCAGAACCAACCTTGCCAACCCGAATATTGGTTTCACCTCCCGTTTACTCTTGCTTTCACCTTCAACCTGAAAGCTGAAAAAAAAAGAGGTACCCTCTGGTAAACTAACATAGCTATTGAAAATGGCCCAGTCGAAATAGTGGATTTACCCATTAAAACCAGTGATTTTCCATAGTTATGTAAACGTTTACCAGAGGGTATGATGGGATGACTGTCCATTTTTCCATTTTCACCTCGAGCCCAGCGGCCTCGGTATATCCTGGCAGAGCCTCGATCTCGTTTTCGCTGCCAGCTTCGATGATGGTGTCACCCACACGCGCATCACCCACCTCGGCGCAACGGCAACACGACACGACGCCCCTCAGGCTTCGTTTTGGTCGGAAGGAATTCCTGGCAGAGCCTCCGGTGTTCTCAAGATTTCTCAAGTGTCTTCGTGGTTGGAAAAAAACCAAGCATTTAGATCATTTAGTTTCATGTTTCTCCCAGCTATACACCTCTAATTGGGGATTTTCCATTGCCACGTTTGAGAACCCCCAGGGTAAATAAAGTCCTTGGATGTCTGGGGGTCAGCCGCCCTTTCTGGATATTGGGATGGTGTACAACATCGCCATTCATATTTAAGTGAGGCAAACAATACTTCCAAGCTATATTAGCCCTATATTAGCCCTATATCATACAAATCCATACAAATCCATACAAATCCTGGAATCGTCTTTCCATAAGATATCAATTTTCTCATCTTTTCCCTATGGATTTCTCCAGAAAGAGGAATTCCCCACCAATTGCTGAAATCCCACAGTTTTTCAACATGTTTAAACAGTCATTTTCCTGATGACAATTAACAGAAAATTCTTTGGGGCCCTGTGGCAAACCATTGTTTGGTACACTTACCTGGCTACACCAATAAAAATATCGCTAAACATATCGCTTACTTTTTTGCCCTCTAGCCTGTTTGATGCCTATTTCCCCATGCTTACGAGGCGGTGCCTAACCATTTTAGTTGGCTTTTAGTCCGCATGAACTACTGTAGTTCGAGATAGCTACCTAAACCATAGTTGACACAGTTACAAATCACGCCGCTGTTGCGATCCGGAGCAGCTACAATCCCATTATATAGATATATATATATATATATCAAAAAAATTCAAAACATATCTCGCATAAAAAAGCCACCTGTTTTGTTGGATAAATCCCCATGATATCACCATACATCCAGAGATCAACCCAATTTCTTCAGCTTAGCCACGCTCTTGATGTTGGCACAGACGTAGCCAACTTCGCCCACGCTCAACTTCTGCACGGGTTTCCGGGTGCTGGCGACCCTAAATGCAAGGGCGCTCTGGCGACGCGGACACTACCAGAAATGGCAAGAAACAACAGTGGAAGTTGGATGATTTACCTGATTCACCTGGCTTTATATATCATTTATACAATTATATCATTCTCTATATATATATATATATATAACATTATATAACTATTACACAATTTTACACATGTTTATTTACATTTAAGCTAGCACCAGTTTTCCACACAGCCAATTTGGGGATCAAGGTTGGGGCGAGAAGCACTCAAGAGCACCGACCTGCCCAACCCAAAAATTGACACTTGGCGTAGCTATTTGTTGAGGAGTGAACAGCAAAAACGGCGATACTGGACAGTCAGGACCTTTAGTCCCAGTGGCAAATTCACCATGACTTACATGAACTTCCCATTGCCATGGTTCCGAGAGGCACAGTGTAACTGCATTTGGATGTACCATGATGTACCATCAAAAACCATCCAAAAACCATCAAAAACCATCAAAACCATCAAAAACCATCAATTTTTCCATCAAACATGAATCAAACTCTGCCAGGATTTTCGATCCACCAAAGCCCAGAGATTTCTCCAAGATTGAGGATGATTGAGGTGTATGATTCAATCAGAGCCAAGCTTCATGATACCAATCTCCTGCAGTGACTCTGACTCCGTGGGATTGCATGAGTTTTTCAACTATCCAAATCAACCCAAAAAAACACTGACCCTGAAGTTGTGAGTACAATATTTAATACTATTTTTACACATTTTTATCTTAAGGGGTCTCCGAGTATAAGTAGCCTCTGATCATAGTTTATGATCACATCCCCCATTTACTTCGATGATTTTCGCGAGCCAAAATTTTCGCAAAGCTGACCAGAGGCTTATCCCAAGTTCAATGGCTTGGTTATCCTAGTCTTTTCCCACAAAAAAAATCCCATGATATCCGACAACCCCACCGTGTTTTATTATTGCCAAGGTTGGTTTTCCAGCACGTTCAACCTTCGTTCAACCTCCGTTCAAACTTAAAAAATTGGCAGCTCTCCAGCTCTCCTCCACAATGAACTCTTTCCCCGAAGCCTTGAATCGGATCTTCTGTCCTGAGCATTGCACGTGCTAAGTCGTGCCGTGCCGTTCCAGGGGGAAAAGACCCAGCGAAATGGGGATGAATACCCGGCCTGGTAATGACTAACGTAGCGAACTGGAAAGATCCACCCATGCTATTCATGGGAAAGCTCACTATTTCGACTGGGCCATTTTCAATAGCTATGTTAGTTTACCAGAGGGTATGATGAACACCACAAAATCAACTCACCAAAAGCACAATTCGAGCGGCGTTTCTGGGCGTTCAGTAAATCACCTGTCTTTTCAACGACTTTTAAAAGTGACTTGACCCATCCCCCATGGCGACCCCGATGGCAACCCCGATCCGCGAGTCCTTTAGAGATGCTGCCGTCGACCACGCGAAACATGGCGATGACACCTCTGTAGTTGTCGTAAAAACTGTCGAAGACTAAGAGACCTCGGTACCACCCAGGTGGCGATGTGAGCCAAACTGGAAACTCACCCCTGGTTTTTTCCTTCGAAATGAGTTTGATGATTGAAAAAATTCGATACACAAAAATGATGCCAGAATGAGTTCAATGCCACATCTAATCTAAGGCTTGAACGCATCTTTTCGTGCTTTTCATCCATGTGCGGCGCTGGCACATTTTCGATGATACCTGGTGCTGTGCTAGGCTGGCTGCTTGTCTTGGATTCATTGGATCATGGATGGTCATCCTGCAGGTGATGGTCATGATGGTCATGGTTTTTAGCGATCCGAATACCTTCTGGTGAACTAACATAGCAATGGACAATCACCATTCTTAATGGGAAAATCCACTATTTCTATAGCCATTTTCCATTGCTATGTTAGTTCACCAGAGGGTAAACACTATTCACCATTGTTTTTACAGCTATAAAGAACTATAAGCCATTATCAAACAATAATTCATATGAATAGTCATATTAGTGGTTACACACTCTTAAAATCCAGCATTAAAAACTATTGACCTTAATCTGTAACTTCTATTAATCATTACACTATACTAACAATTACTTACCTTTATTTACCATTCTTAGTCTCACGATCAACCACTTTTGACCACGATTGTCACCGGTCAGTTACAGTGTTACAGTAACTATCCAGTTTATTCCATTGAGTCCCGTTAAAACATATAAACAATGTCATTAAATTCCATTCATATCCCATTAACATCCCATTAATTCCTACAAACCATCTCATTCAATCAATTCCCATAAACAAATGAATGATTGTTATTATATATATGATATATATATATATGATATATATATATGTATGATATATATATATATGATCATATATGTATATGTATATATAATTATATATATATGTATATAAATATCTCATCATCACTCGGTAACTATCTACTTTGACCTCCCAGCATCTACGGAGCGTTTTGCCCAAGCAGCTCTTGATGATCTCAGGCACTCCCTGTCCCGTCTTTGCCGAGCACAGCAGCGCGTTGCTGCAGTCGATGCCAACCTCAGTGCACTGCCCAATTTTGGCGACGCAATGGATGGCTAAGGTGAAAATCATGGTTTATTCACGTTTCTTCCGTTGATGCCTGTTGCTATCTCTTGTTGATGGTTCTAAAATGAAAAAAAAAACATGTCAAAGTTAGCCATGTTTTCAACCTACAGTTAAAAAAAAACATCAAGAACTTCAGTTGAACCCGATGAAATCATGGTGTCTTCATCTTGTTCCACTGCATGCGTCGACCCTTCAGGATTCATCTGAGCCGGGTCATGTTTTCTGTAAGACCCTCTAGTAAACTAACACTTTGATACACTTTGTGAACTGGAACATCAAGACTTTTGAGAGATCCATGGTCAATCCATGGTATGGTAAATCAAGGTAAACCATGGTAAATCCACTGTAAATCAACTAGACATGGGCCATTCTCCAGTCCACAAAGTGTTTCCACCAAGACCCTGGCCACATCTTCAATTTCTTTGCAAACTCGATCCTGAGCCAAAAATGCCGCGCAGGGGAAAGCCACTGGATGTTTTTCTGTGGTGGTTTAGGGGGTTTGGGGTTTAGGGGCTTTGGGGCTTGGGGAAATCCCTAGACCATTTTTTCGGATGTATATGATATATTATGATATTATTATGATTCATGGTCTTTTTTCGAAGCCAATCAGGTTGGATTTGAAAAAAATGGGATGGTTTTTGGGCCAGGCCGAATGGAAAATCCCACAGTCAGACAGTCAGAATACCATGGAAAATCACACGCCGCGATCAAGACGCTGGATCGGCACTGGGCAAATCCACCTTGTTCAGGACAGGAACAATCTCCTGGGATGGGAAGCGAGCTCAGCAAGTCTTTGAAAAACCGGGAAAAATTGGGGGAAGTATGATATTTATGATATATTTATGATTTATTTATGATATCTATGTATGATATTCTATGATATTTATCTAGGATATAACTTAATATAACCTCCAATCCCAACTTCTGTAGGCGCAGTTTTCACACCATCCCTAAGGAGTCATCTTTTCTCGCCGAACCAGTGATTCCCTAGGGTCCCTAGGGTCCCTCGTCCCAAGCGGCATGCCGAGGATCTAAATCGGCCTCCAGTGCCAGTGTGACGTTCGCAATGGTTTGAGCCTGTCTTCGAAGCCACCGCACCATGGGCGAGTTTTTTCGGCGGAAATTTCGACACACCAAGGAGGCAATGGACAATGGACAATCATCATGAAATCATGGACAATCCCCCAAATCCCCCCCAAAAAAGACTTGTTCACAGGACAAATATCGAACAATCCACAAAAATCATCTATCAACGGGGGACGTTTGTTGAGTTTCAATCCATCCTTTTCCAATCTTTTTCCCATCATTTCCATCCGAAAAAAAGTGGCCCTCGCCTGCACCCCCTGGGTGGCATCTACCACCAGCAGGGCTCCCTCGCAGGCCGCCAGCGAGCGGCTCACCTCATAGGTGAAATCCACGTGGCCCGGGGTGTCCTCAGCGTCAATGGCCATTTTAAGATCCTAAATCCGCCGACCCCGGCCTTCGCCAAGGCCGGGGCGGCGCCTGGGACCACCGCAGGTGTGGAACTTTTCCTTCTTAGCTTTCCAAGGTCAAACCACATCGCGTAAACCTTCTCCTGGCATGCGTCATCCTCCAGTTCAGACTTCCAGGCATTTGGACATGAAAATTATATGCTTTGGGCAAGTAAGTTTTCCTGCGGAAAATTTGGTCTTTCAAGGCCAAAGCAGCCGTTCCCGCATTCCCGTAGTAGCGGTTCAAGTCATCGACCTGATGAAGACGGCGGGGCCCGTCCTTTGCCTTCCGTGCAGGCACCAAACACGCGAAGGCGCCTGCGCCGGCTTCACGTGTGCAAGGCCTTCCGCGCGGGCTTTAAATGTGCGCGGCAGCTTCCACCAAGTTCCTGGCCGTCAGCGTTCCAGCATTGCAGCCTGCCCTTTGCCTGCACATAGCCCTGTCTTGTTAGGGCATTAGCCTGCTGTTTGCCAGCCTTCAAACGCTTAAAACCCCTAAAACCCCTAAAACCCTCCACCGGAGGTGTGGAACCGCGCCACCTGCCACCACCCTTACAATCCTCCAACTGCTGCATGGCTTAGCTGCCACCAAGCCCTCTGGCCGTCAGCCTTTGCTGCTCCAGGGTTGCAGCCTGCCCTTTGCCTGCACCGTCAGCGTTCCAGCATTGCAGCCTGCCCTTTGCCTGCACATAGCCCTCTCTTGTTATAGGGCATTCGAGCCTGCCGTTTGCCAGCCTTCAAACGCAGCCTTCAAACGCTTAAAACCCCTAAAACCCTCCACCGGAGGTGTGGAACCGCGCCACCTGCCACCACCCTTACAATCCTCCAACTGCTGCATGGCTTCCTCGCGGCAGCTGCCACCAAGCCCTCTGGCCGTCAGCCTTTGCTGCTCCAGGGTTGCAGCCTGCCCTTTGCCTGCACATCGTTTGCCAAGCTTTACACCCTTAAAATCCCTAAAGCCATCCCTCGCGGCAGCTTCCACCAAGTTCCTGGCCGTCAGCGTTCCACCATTGCAGCCTGCCCTTTGCCTGCACATACCCCTGTCTTGTTAGGGCATTCGAGCCTGCCGTTTGCCAGCCTTCAAACGCTTAAAACCCCTAAAACCCCTAAAACCCTCCACCGGAGGTGTGGAACCGCGCCACCTGCCACCACCCTTACGATCCTCCAACTGCTGCATGGCTTCCTCGCGGCAGCTGCCACCAAGCCCTCTGGCCGTCAGCCTTTGCTGCTCCAGGGTTGCAGCCTGCCCTTTGCCTGCACCGTCAGCGTTCCAGCATTGCAGCCTGCCCTTTGCCTGCACATAGCCCTCTCTTGTTAGGGCATTCGAGCCTGCCGTTCTCCTGGCATGCGTCATCCTCCAGTTCAGATTTCCAGGCATTTGGACATGAAAATTATATGCTTTGGGCAAGTAAGTTTTCCTGCGGAAATTTTGGTCTTTCAAGGCCAAAGCAGCCGTTCCCGCATTCCCGTAGTAGCGGTTCAAGTCACCAACCTGATGAAGACGGCGGGGCCCGTCCTTTGCCTTCCGTGCGGGCACCAAACACGCGAAGGCGCCTGCGCCGGCTTCACCTGTGCAAGGCCTGCCGCGCGGGCTTTAAATGTGCGCGGCAGCTTCCACCAAGTTCCTGGCCGTCAGCGTTCCAGCATTGCAGCCTGCCCTTTGAGCCTGCACATAGCCCTGTCTTGTTAGGGCATTCGAGCCTGCCGTTTGCCAGCCTTCAAACGCTTAAAACCCCTAAAACCCCTAAAACCCTCCCCCGGAGGTGTGGAACCGCGCCACCTGCCACCACCCTTACAATCCTCCAACTGCTGCATGGCTTCCTCGCGGCAGCTGCCACCAAGCCCTCTGGCCGTCAGCCTTTGCTGCTCCAGGGTTGCAGCCTGCCCTTTGCCTGCACATCGTTTGCCAAGCTTTAAACCCTTAAAAACCCCTAGTTCCTGGCCGTCAGCGTTCCAGCATTGCAGCCTGCCCTTAGCCCTGTCTTGTTAGGGCATTCGAGCCTGCCGTTTGCCAGCCTTCAAACGCTTAAAACCCCTAAAACCCCTAAAACCCTCCACCGGAGGTGTGGAACCGCGCCCCCTGCCACCACCCTTACAATCCTCCAACTGCTGCATGGCTTCCTCGCGGCAGCTGCCACCAAGCCCTCTGGCCGTCAGCCACTGCTGCTCCAGGGTTGCAGCCTGCCCTTTGCCTGCACCGTCAGCGTTCCAGCATTGCAGCCTGCCCTTTGCCTGCACATAGCCCTCTCTTGTTAGGGCATTCGAGCCTGCCGTTTAAAACCCCTAAAACCCCTAAAACCCCTAAAACCCTCCACCGGAGGTGTGGAACCGCGCCACCTGCCACCACCCTTACAATCCTCCAACTGCTGCATGGCTTCCTCGCGGCTGCCACCAAGCCCTCTGGCCGTCAGCCTTTGCTGCTCCAGGGTTGCAGCCTGCCCTTTGCCTGCACCGTCAGCGTTCCAGCATTGCAGCCTGCCCTTTGCCTGCACATAGCCCTCTCTTGTTAGGGCATTCGAGCCTGCCGTTTGCCAGCCTTCAAACACTTAAAACCCCTAAAACCCTCCACCGGAGGTGTGGAACCTGCTTTGTTTCAAACGTTTCAAACTCTTACAACCCTCCAAATCCCTCGCGCCACCTGCCACCTCCCTTACACTCCTCCAACTGCTGCATGGCTTCCTCGCGGCAGCTGCCACCAAGCCCTCTGGCCGTCAGCCTTTGCTGCTCCAGGGTTGCAGCCTGCCCTTTGCCTGCACCGTCAGCGTTCCAGCATTGCAGCCTGCCCTTTGCCTGCACATAGCCCTCTCTTGTTAGGGCATTCGAGCCTGCCGTTTGCCAGCCTTCAAACGCTTAAAACCCCTAAAACCCCTAAAACCCCTAAAACCCTCCACCGGAGGTGTGGAACCTGCTTTGTCATAGCCCTCTGTTATTGAGGCATTCAAGCTTGCCGTTACCAGGCTTCAAACGTTTCAAACTCTTACAACCCTCCAAATCCCTCGCGCCACCTGCCACCACCCTTACAATCCTCCAACTGCTGCATGGCTTCCTCTACTTCTATATACTGCCACCACCCTTACAATCCTCAACTCGAGCTCCCACCGGTCTGTTTCGTGTAGGTCTTGAAAGTCTTTACTTCTCCTGTGGTTTTATTTACTGATCCTGCCCTGCCACCCCCACAAAGGGGGGGTCGGCGGCACAGGGCGCTAGCCCATTCTATT